CGCGCGCGTATTTGCCGACCTCTTGTTCCGTTGGCGCGTCGCAGACTAAAGGAGCTTTGTGCGCGTCTATTGTACTCCAAATTATTCTCGCAGGTTGCGCGCGCGAGGCAACACACGCGCCCGCCAGCCAGCCAGCCAGCCTCGGGCTGGAGGAGACTACGAGGAGAAGGAGGAGGAGGAGGAGGGGGGTGTTGGAAGTGAAAGTGATGAGATTGTCGCCGATAGGGGTGAAGTGTGGTGGAAGTGTCGTGGCGGAGACTGCAGAGAGAGAGGATTCCGCGTGAACGCGAGGCCGGACAATGTGGCAGTGCCAGACGACTAATGGTTAAGAAAAAGCCGACCAGTGCTGAAGCTATACAGGGTATACGCTGGTGACAACGGTTCGATGGTGAATATAAAAGTTCGGAGTAGATATATTCGTAGGGATATCTGTCGGCGATTTAGTCGTTAAATGAATAATAGGAATAGCATGACTACGAGCACACACGGAAACTATTAACATATTGACAGATAGTTTCATTGAAAGGGAATTATAGGATTGATCTTGTGTCAGTCAAGCATTGGATTTGCAATTGAACGAAATCTAAATTAGAGGAGAGACGAATAAGGAGGATAACTGAGGTGAGAAAATACCATATAGGTTGTAATAACGCAAAGAGAACTGGCAATACAAATGAACACTGTTTTTGTTGGTCAAATAAAGATATTTGTACTTTGGGTGGCAGAATGTTGGGCGGCAGATCTTTTACATCACGCGTAGAAAGACGACGGCGCGGTAATTGCAATGGAAAATATGTAATGAAATGGAAGGTATGAGATTGATTAGAGTGATAATGTAGTTTCGATGAACACTACAATTTCCGAAGGGATAAGAGCAGATCGAGATCAAACGATCGAGTCGAACGGACAGTGATGCCGGTGATGTGACGTCCTACAATTATGCAATACGCAAAATAACAACTCTCGACTAGTGTCTTTCTCCACATCGTGAGCTTAGGGTTGCTGACGACGGCAAATTTGGTAAATCAAACTCGTGCTCTTTAAGGGAGAGTGAATTCTTGGGGCCGGATCTGTCATTTCCGTAGTTTGCGTCTTCCAATAACATTCTGTTGCCCGAGCGGACCCACAAGCAACGGGCCACGGAAGCGGGGCATACAAACCTAACTTCGCCACACACTCCCTCGCATCCCCTCTTAGACTCCACGTGCTTATGACCTATTTACAAGATCTAAAAAATGCGAGTTAGAAATATTGCTCCACTTCTCCGAGAGCGTGTGGGCGAATCCGACCTGCTCTGATGGGCATGAGAGAGAGAGAGGAGACAAAGAGAGGAGAGAGAGGAGAAGAAAGAGAGAAGGCAGTAAAGAGAGCAAACCAAAAAGCAACATGGAAGCACTGTAGCTCACGCAGCGATTGCGTTCGCAAAGGTCTGACTGGCGGCGCCCTGGCAAAAGCGAAGTGTGTCGCTGGAGCAGAGGAGGCGGAGTTGGCACAACCCCCGCGACCGCCCGTCATCAGGGCGCCACCCGCCTCGTTATCTCAGCGAGAAGGCGGCGGCGCCGCCGCCCCCGCCGGGACGCAAGGCGAGGAATAGGGGGGGGGGTTAAGAGGCGATGGTGGGGCGATGGAGCGATGGAGGCGACGAAGCTCTAAGAGTGCGCACGAGTGAAAGCACGGCGCTGCAAGAGGCGGGGGGAGGGACGCAGGAGCGGAGAAAAGGCAGCTGTGGACGCGCAAGCACAGGCGGGGCTGGACAGGGGAAGGGGGATGGCAGAGGCAGGGCGGAGGCAGGGGTGGAGCGGCAGTAGGGGCTGGCCAGAGCAAGGGGAATGGGGTAGGAAGGACCGGGAAGAGTAAGGTGGAGGGGGAGACAGGAGCAGGCACGGACGAGAACGGACAAGGCGTGGCAGAGGAGCGGGGTTGGTGTGCGGGAAAAGGGCGGCGGCGGAGGGGGCGGGGAAGAGCAAGGAGGAAGAAATGGGAGCGGAGCAAAAGGATGATCGCAAGGAGAAAGGGGGAGCGGGTAGAGGGCGATAGAGGAGAGGACGAAGCAGAGCAAGGGGGTGGAGGAAGGCAAGCGTGGGACGGAGGTACAGGCGGGCGAAAGCAATGAGGAGGAGGGGGAGGTAGGATGGGGTAGGGAACGGGTCTTTGGCGGAGTACTTGGGGCAAGGGAGGCGAGAAAGTCGCACCGAGAGAGCGCGCATCAGGAAGCTCGTCGCCAGCGGCATCCCAGGGTTGCCAACACACCGACGTAATTAAGGCACACGCACCATGATCGTCGGCGCTTCTCTCTGATGTGAAATTTAACGCGTGTGCTTTCGAAATGCGGCGTAAAGATAATAACGCTGCTTGAATTTCCACTTCTGATGATACATTCTGTACCCCAGTACACAAATAACCTGATTTTGTATCCACAATCTGGATAGGAAGTAAAATAATACATTCTTTTAGTTAGAATATGTAAGCAATAGACGCCAAGTTATCTTCGCAATTAGCTTCTAAGGACACCTACATCTCCATCGCCAAGGTAGAGTGAACTTGAATTCCACCCGTCGAGTTTATCTGTTACTTGTAACGGCTTCGAAAAAATGTATTTCCTTCGTGTTCTAGAAATATTAGCATATATGAAGCTAATTGTACTATTAGTACGCTATCTCATGAGAAGTCATACTTGATTTTGATTATTCAAATACATTCACACAGTCTTGATTTCTCTGAGTTTCCCCACAGTCTCAGTGCTGAGATCATCACTTTATCCACTACTCAGAAAACATGAGACATATCTCGGTATCGAAAATCGCATCCACGAGCGCTATCTTCTACTTGTTCCTTGACTTAATTTCTCTAGACCGGGCCAGACCAACACGTACCGCGGCATCCTGTTCCGGCAAATATCAGATGTCCTGCTTCTCGGCACATCGACAGCAATGTTGGTTAGTCACGTTTGTGTAGTGAACGTTTTATTTCAAACTTTCGCCGACTTTGGCTTGCGGGTAAATTTCCTCCTCCCGTTACAATCTCCAATTGGAACTCCGCGATAGCAGGGACACAGTCTAAGCTGTACTTGTGTAGTGTATGTGTACAAGAAGAGAGGGTAGGACAAAAAAGAGAAAGGAAAGGTAACGCACCGTCCTTGACACATTTGTGAGGGCACTACCCCGGCATGCGCTTGGCTCTGATCAGAAAAAACAAGGACAAATACTGATCAGAACAGCCACTTGCTAGAAACCTCCACCTTACAGCTACTGAATTCAATCTAGCTAAGTAGCTGGAGTGAAAACTTCGTACATCGGTACCTAAACCCTACGTCAGACACCTTGAAGACGGCAGCAATGTTATACCTGGGGTATCCTGAACTTGTGAAAATGACTGAGGGTTCGGCAGGGACTAGTTCCTCCATCACTCTGCGGGCGTCCTGTCGTATATCCTTCGGATAAGCCAGTCTTTGCCAGCCAGCCAGCACCGACATTGAAGTATTGTGTGTGGTTCCAGAGGTAGCCCGAGTGCCTTGGAAGTCGGACAGTTGAGGGAGACACGCTTCCACCCAAACGGTCAACGGAGACTTCACGGCAGCAGAGACGGAGAGGTGTTGGCGATGATGAGTGCGTTCTAACACCGCTTTGAAATCAAGTGCATATCAGAATGCAGTGAGTGGAAAAAGTATGGAGATATGGCAGAGATAAGCAAAAATGTTGAAGTGCTCTTGGACAGTTTGTGAGTGGGTACTCGTGAATGTTCGGGGAGTAAAAGGGAAGAGCAGGTTTTCACAGAATCAGAGATTGATTCATTGATTATTTCGTGTTCCCGGGCGCGTCAACGGTACGGTAATTAGTCCCATAAGTGGAGTGCATTCTTTTTTATTACAGGATATGGCGGTGAACGCCCACGGGATGGTGAGATTCAGCACCGACCTGAACGTCGGACTGCACGGTATTCCATATGAAGTACCTTCCACAAACGGAACACTTTCCCAGTTGGGCCATAATTTAAACAAGGTTTGATTGACTGTAATAAAAAGGAAGAAGAATATTGTTCTATAAACAAACTGAGATTATCCATATTTTTTTAAAGTTGACTAGCACTAAAAACCATTCAAATGCACGGAGCTTTAATGACGAGAATCCTACTGTAGAAGAAGGTAGTTTGGGGCGCTGGAGATGACGGCGCGAAGGTCATAGTTACGTTAGCATTCCACAGTGACAGCGTCGCGTCGCCGCAGAGTTCGCCAAGTTCGCACATCATAAAGAGAGTTAACCGAACTGGCAGTAAGGGCTCCACCGCCCGATTGGACGAGCAGACTCACTGATGTAAAAGGAAATCACAGCGGGATATCTCGGAACCCTTTCCCATCATGTAGGCAGAGCACTTTAAATCTTATCGTTCTCTCCTCGCGACCTAGGAATTTAGCGAAAGGTTGGAATGCATGTACTATGCTGGATTAAGGCGTTAGATGAGATTTGATTGTAGTCAGTTAGGGAAATTGTGATTCTTGGGGCAGTAGAGTTTGTAATGAAATTATTAAATCCTACTAAACCACACCGTAAAGATAGCCTCAATCAGAATAATAGATTACGACAAAAAATTTCTTGAGAAGGTCTACATACATTTCTTATTTAAACAACCGGTGTTACGATGAACGATGTTAAAAAAAGTATTCCGTATCCGCATACCCGACAACAATATTGCAGCTTACATTATTTTCAGAAACTGCTTTCTCCAGCTCATAATTACGAGCAAGTTTCTAACAATAGTAAATTAAAGTTTCTTTTGTGGACAATGTAAACTTAATAAAGTCGTGAAGAAACTTGAGTGTCATAGGTCTCTACGGACTCTACACACTTACCTCCCTTCTCACGACGTCAATCGTATCCCTAGTCGCAATTCCCTTCACTGACATTTGTTCAATCGATTCATGGTCAGCTTGATTGTCATTGAAAAATAATTATACGTCTTATTTCCCGATCAGTAGTCGAAATTATCATGGCAATACACGCAGAAAAAAAAAACGTTTCCAGTCAAATGGTTCGTCAAAAAAAAAGATGACAACGAAAATTAACATAAGGATTGTGTGTTATAAAGTATGCCTTTTAAACAGCTCTTTCATACATTATCAAATCCCCATCTCCGTCGCCTCAGCCATCATTATCACCACCACCACCACCACCACCACCACCACCACCACCACCGCTGTGACCGTCGCCGCCATAGCCATCGCCATTATTGTCCCCGCCACCACCACCATCACTGCCACCCCTGCCGCGGCGTCGTCGCCGGGATAGCAGCCGTAGCCGAAATCGGGCCCTCGACAATCGCGAGGCG